CTGAGGAAAGGGAACGCACGGTCAGAAAATGTTTATTCTCTCTCTCTGGCTCTCCCTTTCTCCCTTTCTCCCTTTCTCCCTCCTCCCTCCTCCCTCCCTCCCCCTCCTCAAAACAAAATGTTAAAAATGGAAACAATACTTCCGCTCTACTTATGTTCCGCTTCGACGCCCTACTCGTTTCCAGTCACTGAATCAGTCATAAAAGTCTCCATTGACGGAAACAAGCGAACTATTGAATCATCGTGACATGTCAGGCGAGTAGTTAAGGAATGACAAGATTTCACTTTCATCTAATTGTTCATATTACTATTTGTTGTTTATTTTTCGATATATTTTCTGACTTTCCAAATATCTTTGTCCGTATTTATCTGCCTATGTATGTACGTATGTATATATGTATGTATTTGTCTATCTGTTTATCTATCCGTCTATCTATCCATCTATCTATCTTGTAATCTGTCTATCTATCTATCTATATCTATATCTCTATCTGTCTTGCAATATATCCATCTATCTGTTTATCTGTCCTGGCCATATGTCTGTATGTTTATCTATATAATCGTATCCACTTAACGCATTTCTAAATATATATTCTATCTATCAATATTTATATGCACGTGGCTTTTCCCGGTTCATCTATCCATGCCTATCTCTATTTGTCTAATCTGACTGTATGCAAATTGAATAATTTATCTGTATTTCAGTCCAGAAGCTCAACTGAAATGGCCAACTGCTCAGACCGCCTTTGGAGCTTCGAGATAAGTTCACTTCACTGACCTTACTCACTGAAGTGTTAATCCTTTCTCTGTGCATTTCCTCCCCCCCTCTCTTCTCCCTCCTGACCCCCCTCTCCCCGTTTCCTCCCTCTCGATCCTCTCTCCCTTTCCCTCTCTTCTCGTTTCCTTCCTCCTGATTCTCTTTCCCTTCTCACCGATTCTCCTTTTTTAGTTCTTCCTTCCTTTCTCTTCCTTCCCCCTCTTCTATTTCCTTAGCCTCCTATTCTCTCTCTCTCTCTCTCTCTCTCTCTCTCTCTCTCTCTCTCTCTCTCTCTCTCTCTCTCTCTCTCTCTCTCTCTCTCTCTCTCTCTCCTTCCTGACTTCCGCTTCCCTCTTGCCTCTCTTCTCCTCTTTCACCCTCTCTTCCCCCTCTCGTCTCTCTCATTCGCTTCCACCATCCTTCCATTTCTCGTCGTTCCTTCTTCCTCTTCTTCAATTTTCCTTCTCTCCCTGTCTCCTCCCATTAGGAAATCAATCTTGTAGCGAGTACCGATGATAATAAATCAGAAATGATGATGAAAGAGAGAGGTGAGAAGAGAGCAGAAAGGAGAGAGAGGAGAGGTGAGAGGAGAGATACGTAACAGCGATAGAGAGAGGAGAGAGGAGAGATGAGAAGGAGAGGAGAAAAGAGAGGAGAGCGAAGGGAGAGGAAAGTGAAGAGTGAAACTGCCATGATAGTTCTATTGGCTACCTAAACTTTATAAAAATGGAACGGGTGTCGAGTAAATTACCTTCATAAAACCCTTTTTGAAGTGCTCGAACACTGATAAATTTAATGTATATTCTGTCCATATATTTTTTTGTGCTTGTCACTATGTTATAACATACATCCACGTATTTTATTTCAACCGCATGGACGCACGAATAACACACACACACACACACACACACACACACACACATCAAACACAACTCTGCGGATATTTCACGCCAGCGTCGGGCAAAAGGTCGGAAATCCTGTGCTATTTGGTTTTATGATTTTTTTCTTTTGGCCCGATTTCTATTTTTTATAATTAACAAGCGAAAACGTGAATTGTACCTATATTTCTTCTTTTTGTTACTGTTATGATTGTTAACATTATTATCATCATTATCAGTGGTATTATCATTATTATTGTTCTTTATCATTATTGTCAGTATTATTATCATTGTTATCATTATTATTATTATTATTATTATTATTATATTACTATTGTTATCATCATTATCATTATAATGTTTTTTTTCATTATTATTATCATATCTACTATTATTATTATTATTATTATTATTATTATTATTATTATTATTATTATTATCATTATCATTATTATTATTATTATTATTATCATTATTATTATCATTATTATTATTAGTAGTAGTATCATTACTATTATCATCATTATTATTATTATTAGTAGTAGTAGTATCATTATTATTATTATTATCATTATTATCATAATTGCCATTATCATTGTTATCATCATCATTGTTAAAATGGTTATCATTTTCATTACTGCTTCATTATTACTCTTATCAGTTAATTCACCGATTGAACGTATGCATCTATAGAATATCTATCTATCTATAACCCTGTCTCTCTCTATATGTATATGTATATACATATATGTATGTGTGTGTGTGTGTATGTGTGTGTGTATACATATGTGTATATATATATGTATATATATATATATATATATATATATATATATATATGTATATATATATATATATATGTATATATATATATATATATATATATATATATATATATATATATATATGTGTGTGTGTGTGTGTGTGTGTGTGTGTGTGTGTGTGTGCGTATACACACACACACACGTGTGTGTGAGAGAGTTCATCTGTCTATTTTTCTCTCTCCACCTCTGGTTGCAGGCGGGGTGGGGGAGGGGGGCGAAATTCTATGACTGAAATAATTGACTCTTTTCATTTCAACAGAGAATCCAACTCAAAGAGCCATTGTGTAATTGTTAATGTTTAATTCGAGTTATTGTTATATTTGAAAATGGCAATTTAAATGGCTCTACTGGAATATTGATGGTGATGGTTATGACAAGTATATTCTTGATGATAATGGAAATATTAATGATGATGGTATTAATGTTAATGACAGTGATAATGCCACTGATGATAATGACAGCGATAGTGATGATGCTAATCGGGATTAATAATAATAACAATGATTATAGTGATGATACTACTACTAGTGAGGTTAATGAGGAATGATGATAATAATGTTAATAAAATAATGGCAATAACAACAATTATAACAATGATAATGACAGTTCTGTTAATAGTGATAATGATAATAATGATAATGATAAAATACAATAATGATAACAATAATAATGCACATACGAAGACGCACACACACACACACACTAACACAAACAAACACACACACACACACACACGCACTAACACACATACATTAACACACACACACACACACACACTAACACATACATTAACACACACACACACACACCAACACTAACACACACACACACACTAACACAAACACACACACACACACACCAACCCTACCTCCCCCCTTCCCCCAACACTCTCTTCCCCTCCTCCCGGCTGACCGCGATCTACAGACCATTTCATAATGACCTTAATAACACATCGGCCTTGTTTGCGGATCCGAACAGCCCACTCACCAGCGTAATGGTATTAGGAGATGACAAGGTGTGCTGTGGTATCTCCGGGAAGTGCAATGGCAGTGCGGGATTTGGTACAGGGAAGAGGAGAGAGGAATTTAATGGTTGATGGTGAGGTAGGTGGGGGGTTAAGATAGATAGGTGAGATAGATGTATGGTTGGATTGATATGCGGAGAGTGGAATGAAGTTCTTAGAAACACAGATAGATGAGTAGATAGATAAGTGGATAGATAGTGGTATAGGTGAATAGAGAGATAAGTAGGCGGGTAAAGAGATAGTGGGATAGGTAGATAGCTAGATAGATATATAAAGAAAAATAGACGAGAGAGAGAGAGAGAGAGAGAGAGAGAGAGAGAGAGAGAGAGAGAGAGAGAGAGAGAGAGAGAGAGAGAGAGAGAGGGGGAGAGGGAGAGGGAAAGAGAGACAAATACTGATTATGTAACTCTTCCCCAGAAAGTTTTTTTTTAATCATGACATGACTGCATCAACCCTCCAGTAGTTTTTTTTCTGTATTTTTTTCGGTCCGAAATTTTGTAACAATCTTGTTCGTCGTACGCACGCGCGCGCGCGCGCACACACACACACACACACACACACACACACACACACACACACACACACACACACACACACACACACACACACACACACACACACACACACACACACACACACAATCTATATGCCAAAGGGACTTTCATCAGTGTCCGTGAACAGAAAAAAAAGATGATAGCCGAGATACTTTCAGAAAATATAAACACCGGTCTTCGGCAAATGCCGTTTTGAAAACGTATTTAGAAAAAAAAAAAAAAAAAGAGTAACAGAACTAGAGCCTTTGAACAGGGGATGGAAACTGAGGTTGTGGAAGCGTAAGGAATAAAATATGGTATATAAAGGGTAAAAAAAAGTACGATCATCTGATATATATCCATCCGTGAAAACATATATGTATGGTGACTGGAATCTGGGAAAGTTTTTTTTTTTTTTTGATAAATAAGGGAATGCGAGATATCTATATTCCCAGAATGTACTGTTATTGAATTATTTAAATACTTATAACTACATTAAAAACGGCAGTAACTATATAAAGTTCCCGATAAGAAAATAGTAAACAAAATTCTGAATTACCTTATCTACACCTATATTTCTCTCTCTGTCTATGAGTCTCTAACCTTGTCTACTTGTCTAACCTTGTCATCTAGCTACCTGTGTATCAGCCAATTTACGCACCTAATAAGCCAAACATTACCATCAACTCTTCATGTCAACAACTGGCTGCCTAGCAAACAACCTTACCTTTGCCAGTAATTGCTAACGACATAACCATGCAACCGCATCTCATCCACGAACTACCCACGCAGCGATCCCCTTTTTTCCAACTCCAGTCCACCCTTTTCCGACATCAGTTTCCATTTTTCTGAATTCAGTCACCTTATTGAACTTCAGTAATCCTCTTAGACTTCAATCACTCTCTATGACGTCAGTCCCCCATTCAAACTTCAATCAAGTTTTTTTTTACTTCAATCACACAAACATTTTTTTACGATTCCAACA